CTGGATCAGCAGGGAGAAGTCGTCAGCACGGTCTGTGGCCTGTGACTGTCACGAGTATCTGTTAGTTGATGGTAACAGTTTATAATAGTGGTAAGAGTAGTTGATGATAGTTTGGGGTAAGAGAAGAGTAGTTGATGATAGTTTGGGGAGTAAGAGAAGATAGTTTGGGTAGTTGCAAGTAAGAGGCGTAGTAATTGCCTTACAAATCTTTACTTTCATTTATATACTCTGAAATAATAGTCCACTATTTAGGCCCGTTGTTGCCAGCGTCAACAACCATCCCAATAGTGGCCTGTTATCTCCACCTCAGCCTATCACGTGGACATTAAATCTAAACATAAAATAAATAATCTGAGAAGTTAAGCAACGACTAAAAATCCCTGGAATATGTTCAACCGGTATGCTTATAACACCGCGAGAAAATAAAATTAGAGGAAAAAAATATCTAAGAAGCAGCTAAATTAATAGTGTAAATAATGTAGGAATATGGCAAGAATGCAGCCTTTTGGATCATTCATTACCCAGTACAATTATTATGTCGACACACAAAGTAAATAATTCTGGCAACCAGCCACCCGAGGGCACGGGATTAACAGCGATTAATTCACCAACATCAAAATACCCACAAACTAACCAACACTTTGGTTTATGCAGTTTCGTTAACATAAATATTCCAATACTTTCTGATTACATGTTTTGTGTGTGGATAGGCATGCAGGAGGGTTACTGTGTGTGGCTAGGCATGCAGGAGGGTTACTCAGGAGACAAAAATATTGAAGGTCTTGCGAGGCAGGATCGGGTATAACATTTGGGGTTTACGACTCATGATCGGTGATGATATGGAAAATTGGTTTACTGAGAATTATATAAAATATATATAAATGTAATAATTTCCCCTGTATTTTAATGTAAATTTATTCTCCAATTTTTATAAATCGTTTATAGGTAAATAAGTATAACATTCAGTTTTTTTTTAAAGATCTTGTTCTGTACTACTGAAACACTTGTTCACTAAGAATTGTAATGTATAATTGCCTTGTAACACTTATGTATATGTAATTTATATTGTATTTTTTTAAATAAAGATAAAAAAACCTGTATATACACCATGAAGTGGGATACAACTTAGTGTATGTATCCCCCGGGCTAAGACAGTGTGGTTTTCAATAAGTTACCTGACGTGACTGTGGTGGTGACGGGGGCAGACCCGCAGGGGCAGCTTTCCTGTGGGCGGCGCTGCTGGTGGAGGTCGGGTTCTCCGCCTTCTGGAAATAAAAATTACGGTCAAATGCTCTGTGTAAATATACTTTAGTAGAAATTAGTTTTAAAAAGTATCAGAATGTGATTAGCCTGTATGGCTATAAAGCATGATTAAGATCATAGACAAAGACAAGATACAGTACTTGTATATTAAGATGCCATTATGAGAGCAATACAGACCTAGGCTTCCAAATATTAAAGATATTCACTAAGTTAGATTATGAAGTTTACCTCATCTTATATGGGCTTCAACGGGACACACAATTTACGATCCTGAAAATCATGAAATTCAACGAGGTGTAAAACTGAATATAAAACAGAACAATTTGTGCAATAAAGGGAATGTATCATTTCCATTAGATGACATTCTACCTAGGGAATGTGATCATATCGTGCATAAGATGGTTCGACAAAGCTCGCTTTTTGATTGTCAAAACTGTATATATCGGTAGGTAAGGATGTATCAGCTTAGGTTTGGCCGTGTTAGGTTGGGTTGGTTTGGTAGTTTTTACTATCTGTTGGCGAACCATCTTGTATACAATGTGATTGTATGTGTACCTACTTAGTGGAGCCCTTTCTAAAAGCAAATCCATTACCATGAGAATCCATCCCCCTCCCCCCCCCCTTTAGACCACCTGGATAGTTATCTAGATATTTGTGGTAACCGAAAGCATATTACGGTTCCAGTAATACTCTACATGTAAATTGGCACGTGAAACTTTGTCCTAAACAGTCTCAAGTTATAACTTTATCGTATTATGAACTGCCAGTTAAAAATATAAGAAGTGTATGCTGAAAACATTTTCTTTGAAGAATTAGTTTTTTATGTAAATGGAATTCTTGGGTACACTGAAATAGGTTACAAATTCCATACTTCACATTATCGTCAATAATACACCATATAAACGTAATGAAACCTAACTAAACGTTAACCTCAAGTAACCTTAACCTAACCTAAGCATGGAGAGAGTAGATAATAATTGTTGTTGTTGTTCTCAATCCATTCCCGTGAGCGTATTTCCTTCCTGAGGACAGGTTGACCTAGTGGGCTACTTAAGTTTTTCCAGTAACTCATTTGATGACACGAAAAAACCATGTACACATCATGGTTTATGTTGAGTTGTTTATTTTTGGATAAAGCTATCCACTTGCCTCTCCACTGTGTAAATGACACAATGTATTATTAGATGGTAGTCTGTCATAGTAACTGGTTACGAGAGCAGTGAGCACTATCTGAATGGCAATTTTGTTTGTTTCATTACTGTCTTGAAATATTCTACTACACTACCATCTAATATTACTACTACTGCTATTAATATTACGACTATCATTGCTATTAATATTACGACTACTACTGCTGCTATTAATATAATTTACCTTAAAGCCAACAGGAGTAGATTCAACATTATCCAACCTGAAATGAAAATGCAGAAAAGTCAGGTATAATTTTTCCAATAGACTAGGAATTGCAGGCGTCATCAGAGTACTATATAAGAGGGTATACACATACTGCAGTAAACCAATACAATCAGTAGACTTAATTGTGCCGATGTAACACAAAATCAACAATGATCAGACGTAGATTTCACGTTTTTCGAGCGCATTTTGCCTGCTGGGTTAAGCTAGGCCAAGGATTCGAGAACCCTTTCGTCATACGGAAATCATATTTTGCCTAAGGAAAATTTCATAAGGTTGCGTATTGTATTATGCGCTGTGTATATATATTCCAATATGTCAGAAACAAGCTTATAGTTTCATTCAATTTAAATGACTTTCGAAGACCGCACTGAGTACCATAAAATGTCACACGCGGCTAGGCTATAATTAGTCCGTCAGTAAAGAGAGCTGCATCCAGTGGGTACAATACCCAAGAGCAAAGTTAATTCAACATTATCAACTTTGATTTAACGTCACTCTTGGATACCTGCACCCATTAGACAGTGAGAAAAAAAAATATTGGATAGCCGTTGACTCAATGTTCCGTATGTAGCTTAGCCTAACATTTTAAAAGCACTACGATCACCTTCTGTGGTTGTTCAATAAATCTCTGAACTGTATGTTTGACAAATCTTTCACCCTGTCCATGGAGGACAGAAGAAAATGTATATATGCTAGTTAGCATTGTAAATGTGTGGCCACGTCTGTGGTAGAAAATAATAATAATAAAAAAAACTCAATGTGCCATCAACGTCGCTTGTGACTGCAGCTTAATTAATACATACAATAGCTGGATACACTCGCACAAAGACTACTCTTGCTGCATAACTATGTAATTGAATTTAAAAACAAATTCAAGACTTTAGAAACCTTCAACTTACAGACAAGCCAACCTGCACTGCCAACAAATGCGCACCTTTCAATATATACATTCGTACATACGCTCCGACATTCGTACCGACATTCGTACATACGCACCGACATCTACTGACGAATATACGCATGTACATATAAATCGTTTTGTCGGGGACAGGCAACCAGTGTGTGTGTACTTTAGGCTGATAACGATGCCCCCCCCCCACCCAAAGTGGAACTACTGACCCTCCCCAAGATGCAATCTCACAACAGTTTAGCCTATTTACAGTTAGGTGAACAGAGGCATTAGGTGAAAGGAAACGTGCCGAACTATTTCTGTCCAGTCCGGGATTCCCGATTGCGAGGCGAGAACGAACTTAATAATACAATATATTATATATATATATATATATATATATATATATATATATATATATATATATATATATATATATATATATATATACACACACACAACTTTAGAACACTTTCCCACCAGGAGACTCGAACCCTAGCCAGCACAGAAGCCTTCCAGCAACTGGCATAACAGGTACGCCTTAACCCGCTCCACCACCTGCTCAGACCCTTAAAAGAGATGGTAATTTTGGAGTATTTATATACCCCAAAGATCACCACCTCCCAAGAGCACTAGAGCAAGTGAGGGGTCAGTTATACGTTTATTTCATCAAGTCCCTGTTAATATGGGAAGACACAGTGTCTATGCTTAAGGCACAACTCTCCTAAACACGAGAGTGAAGTATACAACTTTAGAACACTTTCCCACCAGGAGACTCGAACCCTAGCCAGCACAGAAGCCTTCCAGCAACTGGCATAACAGGTACGCCTGTTATGCATAGGAAGACACAGCATAGACACTGTGTCTTCCCATATTAACAGGGACTTGATGAAATAAACGTATAAATGACCCCTCACTTGCTCTAGTGCTCTTGGGAGGTGGTGATCTTTGGGGTATATAAATACTCCAAAATTACCATCTCTTTTAAGGGTCTGAGCAGGTGGTGGAGCGGGTTAAGGCGTACCTGTTGTGCCAGTTGCTGGAAGGCTTCTGTGCTGGCTAGGGTTCGAGTCTCCTTGTGGGAAAGTGTTCTAAAGTTGTGTGTATATATATATATATAATATATATATATATATATATATATATATATATATATATATATATATATATATATATATATATTCAATTTACATCGAGATTTTGCTGGCTATACATCTGTGTAAATATCACAAGACGTCTTTTTGAGACTACTTTTCTCTTTTACAGAGTAAATAATATTCTTACATACTTACATGTGAGGTATAATTATGTCTGAATATTCGGTGAAATCATTGAGAGAAGCCAACTCGGTGTCTCGAGCCTGTGAGGTGACAGAAAACGTGAGGCCGGCCATCACCAAAGAAAACGACAGCAGTACCGTAAACTGATGCATCTGGTGGGATAAGAGAAATCTTTGCTAATAATTAAACAAATATAATAAGCGCCTAAAATCATTCACAAAATGTACACTGTATGTAACACTAGTAAAGTGGTTTTTAATTATCAGTAAAAATCACTAATTATGCCACAGCTTTCCGGACAAATTTTAAATTTGACATGCAAAATAGATGCTAGGAATGAGAAATTTGACATGCAAAATAGATACTAGGAATGACAAATTTGACATGCAAAATAGATACTAGGAATGACAAATTTGGCATGCAAAATAGATACTAGGAATGTTGTAACATCCGTTACAAACAACATTATAATGCAAAGAGCAAGAGTTTCAAAAACTCATTTGTATGGATACCATCTCACACAGGTGTTGTCCAGCATGATGACACAGACCAGTCAGCTAAAACTGCATGTGATAAGCCTGAAAATGACTGATATGGGCATTCCAATCTCTGCCGTAAAAACCGCAATATTTCAGGAAATTAGAGAAGACAGAAGAGCAGTTACTGACACACAAAGGCCAGAAAGCACGAGTATAAAGAGCTATGACATGTTTAGAACCGAGAATTATATGTACGGGCAGCATAAAACTTCCACTAGACAATGTGACACTGTAATTGCCAGAATTAGGCTGGGATATCGATATCTACGGCAGGTGGATACAGGTAATGAATCTCCCAATGGTGAACATTCTAATTGTAAACTATGTGAACAAGAGCTGGGACATACTCTCCAACACTATATCTGTGATTGCCCTGTTATAAGTGACTTCAGACCAAATGGTATGAGGTACTTTGAGCTCAGTAATTACATCGTACACTCAGGAAGATATTCTTGTGTGGTACCCAGATTTTGCTAGTGGAGGCTAATAGATCAGCCTTACATTTAATGCTCTCTCCTGATTTTTAGTCAGAGTTGATTTGTTTTTGTACTGAGGCTGGTGTTTTCTCCTCTGAGTCCATGTATGATTAATCATCCAGTGAGATACGAGTATTCGATGAACTTATAGCTAGTTTTTTTATCTACACTGTGTAATCTTTCATATAGATTTGGGTAGCAGCACAATGCTGTGTGTATCTAAGCTTGTTAATACAAAAAAAAACATGTAGGTATGTACAATAAATGTTATGAAATACTTAGATTTAGCAGACTTAAAGCAATACTTAAGATACATGAAAAATTACATAATAAAGCTTTATATTTTTATCTGGAAATTATTTTGACGGCAAATATTGGTCAGAGACGTGAGAATCGGGATATTAAGTCTTACCTCAGAAATTAAAAAAATCGATTCATTAAAGTCGTTATTCAAATTCAACTTCTTTATTCAGGAAAAGTACATACATAGTTGATTTACAAAGTTGGATTTATAGATAGAGCTAGTACATACAATACCTAAAGCCAATTTAGTCTTGTATAGACTTTAGGCTTTAGGATTGCAGAGGCTTTAGGCTTTAGGATTGCATAGGCTTTAGGATTGAATACTGTATACAAATATTACTGTATCTTACAATATAATTTCAGTTGTCGGAGGCAAGGAGCCTGTGTTTATACTTTAAGCTTGTATCGAAGTCCCCAAAGGGTCGAATAGCTGACCCTCCCTAGGATGCTACCCCACAAGTTGGATAACTCTGTGTGAACAGATGCATTAGGTGAAAGGAAAACGTGCCCAATTATATCTGTCCCGCCCGGAAATAGAACTCGGCATCCCCGATTGTGAGTCGAGAACGAAGCCAACTGTACTACGTTGTGGGTAATTAATGCCTTTATATACAAATATTATACCTACTAAGCAATCTAATCCTCTGGGCTTTTATAATAATAATAATAATAATAATAATAATAATAATAATAATAATAATAATAATAATAATAATAATAATAATAATAATAATAAATATATAAAATAAGGTTATCAACTCGGCGGCTGAGCGGACAGAACACTGGGCACGTGATCCTGTGGTCCCGGGTTCGATCCCGGGCGCCGGCGAGAAACAATGGGCAGAGTTTCTTTCACCCTGATGCCCCTGTTACCTAGCAGTAAATAGGTACCTGGGAGTTAGTCAGCTGTCACGGGCTGCTTCCTGGGGGTGGAGGCCTGGTCGAGGACCGGGTCGCGGGGATACTGAAGACCCGAAATCATCTCAAGATAACCCGTGGAATCGCCTACCCGCCGAAACCGTAAATGCCAAAACTGTTAAATTTTAATATCCAACTGCAAAACATCAGGGCAAATGGGGGGGGGGGACCTTTGACAAGCCGCCAGCTTCTTGTCCTCGTCGTGGGCACTAATGTGTTGGTGGCCCTCAGGTAAATTCTAGTAAATAACGAATCATCATCCCTATGTGGTAGCGGAAAACGGAAATTGGAATTAAGACCAGTACATTCGTGATAAATCCTATCCTTTAATTTAAGATAATTTCATGATTTAATATTTTAATGAGTTTTCATGATAGCGTGAATTTAGGCAACCCGTCTTCAGGTCAGGATCGTTAAAGCTCAACACGCATTCATCAGTATTAACGTATTGTATTGATAGGTTTGTTCTCATTTATACATTATTATTTCAGTGTAGAAATACATTATAATACAATACATTAAATTTCAGTGTAGTTGGCTTAGGTGTTTAGATTCTGTTGATTAATTAGATTTGAAGTACGTGAGTGAAGCATTTACAGCCTTGCGATTCAGAGGTCGCCAGTGAAGCACTATTAGAAAAAATGTTCGAATGTCTTAAGTTGAGTCTTGTGTAAAACTTTTTTACTTCATAACCAGAGGGTCTGGCGGCTAGATTAACGAGAATTTGGCATTTGTTGATGAGGACGGACTTCACGACCCATCTGATGACGTTTGAACATTTCGTCGCAGTTACTGAGTCGCAACTCAGTAACTGCTTCGCCCACGTACTTGAAATGGAAATAATTGCCAACAGAACCTAAACACCTAACCAAATCTATGGCTAAATATGCACAATATGCTAACACATTAATTCATATCCGAGATAAATCCTATGTTGAATGAACATGTTAACAATGATGAATGCGTAATGGTTATGTCTTCTCACAGACATAATGACAGAGGATAAAACCCACACGTGTATTTGTGAATTTTGAATTCGTCTTTGGGGTCGGCGGGTATGAGGCTTTGACAGCACAATGACAGCACAATGTCTGATATGAGGCTTTGACGGGTTGCCCACGTACTGCAAGCAAATAATTGGCAACAGAACCCGAACACTTAACGTCGGTCTAAATGAAATGTACGGAAAAACTATAATATATAATAAAAGTACTTTATAATTAAAAAAAAGATGCCGACTTCGAATGCGCGGTACATTTAAATGTACGAATGCGTCTTAAGGCTCGGTCGCTGGTTGGACGAGCCTAGCCTGAGGACGGGTTGTAACCTGCCAGTGAGGTTGACGCATTCAACTTTCTATTCCACCATTAACATATACCACAAATATTATTATCTTTGTAATTTGTACTAAATATATCGCCAAGTACAACGAAGCGTTTATATAACACGTTATAAACTAGCTCTTTTATAAAGACCATAACTGGCAATAGTGGCCCTCGGGTAAATTTATTATGGAATATTTTAAGGTTATTCGTACCAGCTAAAAATACAGTACCAGAATGTGGCAGCCCGAACTCATAAATAAATTTCAAATGCTTCGGCCTCACACACACACACACGTGGGTTTCGAGGTTCGAGTCTCCTAGAACCCATGTAAATAGAAAACAAATCTCATATTTATGAATTTACAAAATAAGACATTTTGCATACGACTCAACTGATGACGTTTGAATTTTTATCGAAGTTCGACGCTCCCGTTCTTTGTTTGAACCCCACGTTTGTAAATGCTTCACCCTCGTGTGTGTGTGTGTGTGTGTGTGTGTGTGTGTGTGTGTGTGTGTGTGTGTGTGTGTGTGTGTGTGTGTGTGTAATTTATATTAACAAAAACATTTTGAATACACAGTAACGTTAAAATTGATGAATGCGTCTTGGGGGGGTCGGCCGCAGCTTGAACAGTCTAGCCCGAGGACGGGACGGAACGTATAATTGGTAAAATTGAAGAGAAAGTACAAAGCTAACACAAACAAGGCGGAACACAAACAAGGGTGCGAGAGTGGAGGGCGTTAACGACAAGAGATCACCATAACTGCACAACCCAGGAAGTGGTACACAAAAGTGTATTCTTCAAGGCATGCAGTACTTATATTTGTGTATACACAAGTATTTTTTTAGTGTGTATCTATAGGTTGCTTTAAATCCTTAAACCTGTTTGAACAAATCCACAAGGGTTATGACGAGGATTCGAACCTACGTCTGAGAGCATCTCAGACGCTGTCTTAATCGACTGAGCTACGACATGGTAGCTACGCCATGGTACGACTTTGTTCATTTGATGCATCACGCAATTGTGATTTCTGTTTGTCTTAAGCCTGTGTGTTATTAAAGTAGCCTTGAAAGTCACAATATGAAGTAAATTATGGCCTTAACGATCAAAGAAGTTTGCAAGCCTTAGCACCGGCGGACAGCCCAAGGAAATGGATTAACAGTTAAAGAAATTATATATTATCTAATCTGAAACTAATGTAGTCTTACGAACAGAATATAAAGGGAGAGATATACACAGATACAAGATAATGTAACGTACTTATAAAAAAGTACTAAGACAATATGGCTACTGTAAATAGCACTTGGGATACCAGGACAAGGACCTAGGATATGAGGACAAGGAGCTGGGATATGAGGACAAGGAGCTGGGATATAAGGACAAGGAGCTGGGATACGAGGACAAGGAGCTGGGATATGAGGACAAAGAGCTGGGATATGAGGACAAAGAGCTGGGATATGAGGACAAGGAGTTGGGATACGAGGACAAGGAGCTGGGATATGAGGACAAGGAGCTGAGATAGGAGGACAAGGAGCTGGGATACGAGGACAAGGAGCTGGGATATGAGGACAAGGAGCTGAGATAGGAGGACA